AAAAATAGAAAAGTATAACACAATTAAAAGGAAAGTGAGAACTTGAGGATTAGACAATGAAGAGAGGGCAAGGAGAAAAGCTAGGAAACATGACAGGGGCAAAGCCATACATTTATACTCACAAGATGGGTAAGGCAGTGATCCTGAGAAACATCAGCAGGTTTTGAAACTAGTAGTAAATTAGTAGGATTCTCACCCTGACTAACTATATATGCTGATACCTCTGAACTAAGCAACTGTACTGAAGATAGCAATATGTAATAGAAGGGTCACGCTTGGAATGCCTGTTATTCTGGTCTTCGAAATATGTACTGCTTGTCATGACATACAGATTATTGCTGCACTGTCTCTCAAGTAAATGTTTGTTTTAAAAAAAGGTAATAAATGAATAAAAGAGACAAGAAAAAGTCACAGGACTTTCCTGCTACAATGCTGTATATGGTTAGATTTCTAAATTTCTGTGTAAAAATATGTAATTGCTTATTCATATTTTTAAATTTTTTTTCAATTTTTTCTTCATATTCTGTAGGGACTTAAAGTTTAACATATCAATACTTAATGGAAAATACCATTCCATGTTACACCTAAGATGTTTGATATGCAGACAGTTAGGTTAAACCCAACTGTATATGTTGTAGGGTAATAATAAGCTTCTTTTTGGAGGGTTAACAACCTAAGTTAGGAGACCAAAAATTAGAGAAAAAGAAGGGCTGCAAGGACAGACAGCATTTTGGCCCTAGCCTTTCAAGGTCAGTGAAGACTCAGGACATAGGAGAACCTGTACTGTAACATCATATAACTCAGTTGTGTCCCAAATTTTCTGATCAAGGAGATTATGGTGCCACACAGGAATGTGATCGATGATGTAGAGTGTGCCTAAGGAGAGTCCCATGGAGAAAAAACATTCTCTCAGGCTTTCACAGAGAACAAATTGGTCCAGCAATGGCCATGACTCATCCACATGGCTGACACTGATAAAGGATCTACAAAGTGCGGTACAGGGTTTCAGGATAAATCCTAAGGGGACTTGACTGACCTTATCAGATACAAAAGTTACATTTCTTGTTATATAGGTCTTGCTTTATCTTGGTCTTAAGCATCCAGCAGAAAAGTATGAAAATGAAATATAAAAAGTAAAGCCATATTAATATGCTGAGCTGTGTAACCAGGGATTGAACTCAGGCCTTTGTGCTTGCCAGGCAAGCACTTAATCTGCTGAGCCATCTCCCTGGCCTAATATGCTGAGCTGTAAAAGGCTCAAATCAACAACTTCTGACATTACTAGTCTTATGGAAAACCCACTACTATTATGGACTACTGGACCATATTGGAATATTTTGCTGAATTCACAAGCCTACAATATTTAAATGACTGGAATACCCTTCTCTGACAAAACTAAACAAAAAAAGGGGATACAAATGAATGACCATTTTGTATTCTGTATATACAAAATAGTATAGATATAAAGCTACTTTCTCTTAATCCAATTAGAAGGAAGATTTGTACTAATAGTGTTTGGAGAGTGTCTGATCAAGAAGATTATGGGGCCACAGGAATGTGACTGATGATGTAGAGTGTGCCTAAGGAGAGTCACATGGAGAGAAAACATTCTTTTAGGCTTTTACAGAGAACAAATTGGTCAAGCAATGGCCGTGACTCATCTGCATGGCTGACACTGACAAAGGATCTACAAAGTGCAGTACAGGGTTATCATGTCTATATCTTGTACTATGAATAACCACTAAGAAGATAACAATATGCAATGTATTAATTATTGAA